CTTTCTAAAGTGAATGATTCAGGACAACGCTGCCTATTTTGTCTGTCCTCTTGCTGCCTAGAAACCCCTGTTTAACTGAAATTTTACCGACATGTGACATGTTAAATTTTACCGACATAGGACAATCGTCATTCATTGCCTGAACACACCCCTGAAGCGATTTGTTCAGGTCACCTTGTCATAATCAACAAACCAATAAGCCTGAGCCAACCGTGGAATTGACGAATAGGAGCTCCTGGGAGAGGCTCCTTGCTCTGACTGACTGATGCGTTGAGGTCATCTCCAAAAGTTAAGCAGTATCGAATCTTTGTCTCGGGAGCCCATGCTGAATGACACGGTGAAGAACCCTTGGAAATTGATGTGTTCGTTCCATGTTTGACGTCTTATCATGTGATCGTTAGTTTAGTCACCAAAAGACTCAGGCGAATCACGAACTTGTCCACCGTGTAGATACTTCAGTCCACTATTTCTCTGTGGTGTGCGGTCGAAGCCATCAAACTTGCGTGCTTGAAGTGCCTACACAAACAACTAAGCTAGAAACCGGTGACTGTTCGCGATGCCGTCAACATTTGATTTTTACCAACTGGCTCGTTAGACGTCCTTCGGAAGGACATGCATGCAATTGTCGGTATCAAAACGGAGCAAAATGCAAGCGGTGTGCGTGTACAGGTCACTGCGATCTCTGCGTACCGGTTTATCATCTGTCGTTCTGAAGCCAAAAGTTGTATACGTCGTAGATGCACTTGGGTCAGTTAACCAGGAGATCAGTTGAACCCCTCGCAATGCCTGTAGATTACACGATGAATGAATACAAGTGATTCATTGACCCTTGCCGAATTCGAAAGCCATTGATGAACAACGTCGCTCTGCTGTGTACATGGCTCACTGGGCTTTTGAGGAGCTTTTTTGACCTCAATGCGATACATTATGTTAAATGTGGAATGGGCGTGAAACGAATTGCAATGCCTGTTATTGACTCTGGAATTACCTTAAAAGCTATGTGCGTCGCAAATAAACAGCTATGTGTCGAATCACAAGGTCAATCGTCCTGGCTCCAATTTTTCGTAAGGGCTCGTACTGGTCTGAAAGTTCACTAGCCTTTGATATAAAATGAGTTGCGATGTACGGCATTTTTTTCAAAATCAACTTCACATCAGAAACAGTGCGTACCGCAAGTAAACAGTTACATTTCTTATAAAAAGTCCATCATTAAAGGATCCAATTTTCCGTACAAACTCGTGTTATTGCCGAAATTAAGGACCGATGATATACAAATGAGTTGCGGTGAGTGTTCTTTCACCAGGTTTACATCCAGAGCTGCGCGGGTCGCAAGTAAACAGTTACGTGTGAGATTAAAGAAGTGCGCCATTCCTGATCCCAATTATCCGTCTAGGCTTGTGCTGTTGTCGGAATTAGTTATGGGTCGAATGGGACGTTTTCACAGCGTGTTACGCTAAGAGCTGTGCTCGTTGCAAATAACCCGCTGCGATTCCAACCCGCGAGATCCGTCTTTTCGACCCAGTCCGCGTGAAGACTCGTGCAGGTTACGAAATTAACTAATACACCATGATCTGGATACATGACTCGCCCACGGCTCGTTTGCACTACGTTCATTACTCGCCTGCATTCCTCGCTTCCTCCCTCACAAGTACAATCTGCTCACGCGCGTAATCTACGAGCATTTAATTCACATTGGGACATCTGAGCACATGGAGCACGTGGTGCTCGTTTACGTGCACGCAGTACAACTCTCCTCCGCGCTTGTCCTAATGGCGTGACCTCACCTGTAATGTGACCTGCCTGGTGTGTAACCGGACCCGCATGCTTATCCCCACCCAGCCCGTGGCCCCACCCGTCCTGTCGGGTTACTCCCCGTTAAACTGGCAATCACGCGGCGGAGTTTTCGCACCCAGTCCGCATCTGGCTTAGGTGGCAAGGGGGGGGGGGGGGCGGAGTGAGAAGGACATGGCCGAGGAGCTAGAATATAAATGGAGAGCAGACTAGTGTGCTACAGCGACTCGTTGCAGCTGCTCCCCTCGCTTGTAGATCGCTGCGATGGTCAAGCGCGTGAGCCCTCGTGAGTGGTTGTTCTCCCGAATGTGACGCTCCCGCGGGTTTTGTTCCGCAAGCCCCTCCTCTCAGGCTCCGGCCATAAGCTTCGTGTGCTTCCATTCGCGCTCATGGTCAGGTCCGTTTCACATGCGCTCTTTCTTGGTCCGGAACAGGCAGAGGGCCTCGGATAGCAAGCGTCGGTATGCCTCGGGTGATGCCTGGTCGTGAGGGTTTGCTGTAATGTCGTTGTGCTGCGTACTAGTTTGCTCTGCTCTGGTCTGCCGCTCTGCTCCGCTCTGCATTGGCCGTTCTTAGTCGTCCCCTGGCGGTTCGTTAGCTCCGGTGCGGCTAGCGGGATTTACATGAGCACGAAATAATCTGCGCACCTTCACGCGCGTGTAGTTCAGAAATTAGAGGGATTTAGGTCTTAACAAGGACTGGGCTATGAACTGCGCCGAATCGATCTTAAAGATGGCTATCGCAGTTCAGAACGCCATGCAAATGTGAAACACTCCTTTTAAAGGCGCTCTTAAACGTCCGAGCGGATGTTTAGCACTCGAGCGTGCGTGACCGGCGGCACACGTTCGATCCTGCTGATTTCGTCCGACCGCGACGCTTGGCCGTCGAGGTTTGGGCCTGGTGTCTCGAACCTTAATGGCCTCTTGCTTTTTGTTAAATATTGCGACTTATATATATATATATATATATATATATATATATATATATAAATAGTCGAGATGGAAGGCCTCATCTGTTTCACACTGCATCGCGTCAAGAGAACGTAGCTCGTGCAATCTGCTGATGCGAAACTGCCATCAAGTTTGTACTGTGCCGCTTTGCATAGTTCTGCTGCGTGTATTGAAAGTTGCGTCAGCCAGGTACGTGTGAACTTATTAGATCGTACAAAACGTCACGGCCGGTCACACAAATTCCAAATTGTATCGCGGCAGAGGCACGACTCGCTCGACCAGCGGCCTCGATGGCGATGACCGATAGGCCCGCTGTGCGCCATGATGTACTTGCTATGGAAAACGACTACCCTAATGCACAGACATTCGACCTCGTAATACCTCGCTGACGGGAAATGACGCAAATCTCGCAGAATGCGCGGAAAAGAACGAAACTCAACCCGAACTTTGTCATCGTACGCCGTAGCGCTCCCGAGCCTGCGAGAGGGCGATGACGGCGGGCTCTATGAAACACCAACTTGAAGAATGCTCCAGTGTTTGTCTGGCATGTTGTGCGACTTTCTGTCTGAGTGCTGCCGGCCATTTCGAAGATTTATGAAGTTCACTGCCACCGTGGGAGCCACAACAGGAGCCATGTAAACTTCCTTCCAACTTGTGGCTGACGTGGCCTGGTGCCGAACAGCGCCGTGGCGGCGGTTCTGAGCAGCGCGCGGCGACGGTGTCCTCTCACCTCTGGTCACTGTCGCTCGCATCCGTCAACTTCTCCTACACCTGCGTGCTTGGTGATGATGATGATAATTGGCGGTTTTGAGCGCACCGACTGCTCTGGTCATTTTGCGCCCATAACAGCGTTGGATGTCTACAGAGGTTTCCAGCACCGCACCCCACAGCACCGCCAAATCGCGCCGACAGCTACGGATGGGCACTAGACCGCTCCGTCGTAAGACATGCCGGGGCGCAGAGCCCTCCCCCTCACCTGGCGCCTACATCCCGACTCACCAACCCTGGGGTCGTGACCCCTCCGCCTCGCCAGCTCCGGGGTCGCGATCCTCCACCTGGCCAGCTCCGGGGTCGCGATCCTCCACCTCGCCGGCCCCGGATCGCGACCATCCGCCTCGCCAGCTCCAGAGTCACGACCTCCCGGCCTCGCCGGCCCCGGGTCGCGTCACCCCGCTTCGCCAGCTCCGGGATCGTGACCTCCCGGCCTCACCAGCCCCGGAGTCGCGACCTCCCGGTCTCACCAGCCCCGGAATCGCGACCCCTCCGCCTCGCCAGCTCCGGGGTCGTGACCTCCCGGCCTCACCCGCCCCGGAGTCGCGACCTCCCGGTCTCGCCGGCCCCGGGTCGCGTCACCCCACCTCGCCAGCTCCGGGGTCGTGACCTCCAGGCCCCGCCAGCCCCGGAGTCGCGACCTCCCGGCCTCACCAGCCCCGGAGTCGCGACCTCCCGGCCTCACCAGCCCCGGGGTCGCGACCTCCCGGCCTCACAAGCCCCGGAGTCGCGACCTCCCGGCCTCACCAGCCCCGGGGTCGCGACCTCCCGGCCTCACCAGCCCCGGAGTCGCGACTTCCCGGCCTCACCAGCCCCGGGGTCGCGACCCCTCCGCCTCACCAGCTCCGGGGTCGCGTCCGCTCTGCCTGGCCAGGCTCGGGGTGGCGAACGCTGGCCGTGTCCGTCTGTGGGTCTGACGGAGCCACTTGTCGGGCCAGGGAGCGTCGACAGGCGGCGGCGGCGCCGCCTCCGACGACGCCGTCTATCAGATCGCCGACGACATCGTCCGCCGCCTGCCGCCCAACTACGACATCGAGTTCGTGCTGAAGAAGTACCCGACCATGTACGAGCAGAGCATGAACACGGTGCTGGTGCAGGAGATGGGCCGCTTCAACGCGCTGCTCTCCGTTATCAGGCAGAGTCTGCTGTCGCTGAAAAAGGCCATCAAGGGTGAGCTGGGGTAGTAGCCCTTTATTATGTTTGGGTGGGCGTTGAAGTGGGGGCGCTCTCGGGATATGCTCTGGTTTTGGACACGGTGGGGAGTTGAAGCGAGGATGACATTGGTGTGCGCCCGGGCCTTCCGCAGGTGGTGTTGAAGTGCGGACGGTTCTGGGATGTGCTCGGGTTTTCGTTCGGAGCGGGTGGAAACGGTCTTGGGATCCGCTCGTGGTTTTGCATAGAGGCTCTCCTGGCCCGAGAGGCTACGACTTGTTCAGGCTGTTGGCCTGTTGGCACTGGCGTGAATCGGCCGAACGAGCTGTTTTCAGGCAAGCGCGTGCTATGCGACCGAAGCACTACAACTGCGTAATCGTATGGTGCTCATGATGATCGTAGAGGTGTTTGCTCCGCGGGACGAGCGGAGTCGCAAGCTGCGCGGCTGCTGAGATTGTGGTGTCGCAGCCGAGGCGCCCGGGCTCAGCTCTGGGCTCTTTTCTGCTTCACCGACGTCGACAACGTCAACTGTAACGATAGTCATATTGCACTAGCCGGTAGCCAGCACACGCTTTAACTTCGGCATCACTATGGTCATGTTTGACGCTGGTGGCAGCAGGGTGTGGCGACCTCGTGAAAATCGGAGAAACTTCACTCCGGGCCCGGCAGGCCAGTGGCGAAGCCTCATCACGGCTCGGGGTGCCGGTGGCGCGGCTCCCGTGACCACTCGTGACCGGTGGCGCGGCTCCTGTGACCGTTCGTGACCGATGGCGCGGCTCCCGTAACCACTCGTGACCGATGGCGCGGCTCCCGTAACCACTCGTGATCGGTGGCGTGGCTCCCGTAACCACTCGTGATCGGTGGCGCGGCTCCTGTGACCGTGACCGATGGCGCGGCTCCCGTGACCACTCGTGACCGGTGGCGCGGCTCCTGTGACCGTTCGTGACCGATGGCGCGGCTCCCGTAACCACTCGTGACCGATGGCGCGGCTCCCGTAACCACTCGTGATCGGTGGCGTGGCTCCCGTAACCACTCGTGATCGGTGGCGCGGCTCCTGTGACCGTGACTGATGGCGCGGCTCCCGTGACCACTCGTGATCAGTGGCGCGGCTCCTGTGACCGTTCGTGACCGATGGCGCGGCTCCCGTGACCACTCGTGATCGGTGGCGCGGCTCCTGTGACCGTTCGTGACCGATGGCGCGGCTCCCGTGACCACCCGTGATCGGTGGCGCGGCTCCTGTGACCGTTCGTGACCGATGGCGCAGCTCCCGTGACCACTCGTGATCGGTGGCGCGGCTCCTGTGACCGTTCGTGACCGATGGCGCAGCTCCCGTGACCACTCGTGATCGGTGGCGCGGCTCCTGTGACCGTTCGTGACCGATGGCGCGGCTCCCGTGACCACCCGTGATCGGTGGCGCGGCTCCTGTGACCGTTCGTGACCGATGGCGCGGCTCCCGTGACCACCCGTGATCGACTGGCGCGGCTCCTGTGACCGTTCGTGACCGATGGCGCGGCTCCCGTGACCACTCGTGATCGGTGGCGCGGCTCCCGTGACCACTCGTGATCGGTGGCGCGGCTCCCGTGACCACTCGTGATCGGTGGCGCGGCTCCCGTGACCTGAGGTCGCGCTGCACCGCAGGCCTGGTGGTCATGTCAGCCGAACTGGAGGAGGTGTTCACCAGCTGCATGACCGGCAAGATTCCCAACATGTGGCGCGCCAAGTCGTACCCGTCGCTGAAGCCGCTCGGCAGCTACGTCACCGACTTCCTGGCACGGCTGCAGTTTCTGCAGGTGGGTCAGCGCGGCCCGAGCAGCGGTCGGGTCGGCCGGCCGGCGTCGCGCCCTCTCACGGCCGGCTCTTGTGTACGACCGGCACGTTTGTGTTCTTCACCGCGGCTCGTCTGCCGAGCCGGTTGTGGTCACACGACGAGACGACGGCAGCGCCAGGGAGGACAGCACCAGTCGTGAGCTTTTCAAGTCACGAACGCATTTTATCTACGCCTGCTCTAACGCAGCCCTGCCGATCCTTGTGTTTTAATTACCCGTGTATGTGTTTGTGGATAAAGTCTCATTTACGCCGGCGACGACGGAGCCCAAAAATACGCGCCTTGACGCGTACGTTCTTTACGACGCATTGCAAATCTCCTGAGTTTGCTGTTTTTCCACCGCTGGCCCGCTGCACGACCGGTGACCAGACAGTTGTTGCCCAACAGGCATCAATTAATACCGAACAGACCGACCGGCATGCGTGCTGGGGGCCTGTTATGCAGCGGCTTTGTGCGTGCCGTATAGCGTCTCTGAGCTGGATTTGCGAGCAACTGGTGGCGGCGGGGCGGCTGCGCCTCGCACCGCCCGCTGTGCTGCCCTCAACGCCGTGACTTCGGCCTGCCCTCGACCGGGGCGGCCGTCTGGCGGCGAGACGCCGGCCGAGCGGCGTGACCTGCCGGTCACGGGGTCCGGCCGGTCGGGCCGCGGTGACGCCCTTGTGCGCAGCGGGTCGGCAGGCGCGCCGCCGGCCTTCTACGCAGCGGAGGCTGATCGACCGGACGGCCGGCCGGCCGGCGCTCCCCTCCTGTCAGCGGCGCCGCCCCGGCTGCCGTGCTCCAGGAGCGCAGGCGACGCCCGCCGCCGGCAGACGGGCCGACACAGGGCGCGCCCTGACGGCCGGGGGCCTCCGGAGGCTGCGATTAGGCGGCGTGTTTCATTCCGGTTAAGGGGTTATTGAGGGAATGGAAATGGGTTGTTATTGTGACGACGTTTCAGTGCTCCAAGTGGATCATGTCTCATGGTTGATTGGTCAAAATTACCAATCGTGATGATGTGCCATTTGTACCGTCGGAGAGTGCTCGTGACTAACTCCGTAATTTGTGTCAGCTTTCCCTCTGGCGCTTTACTTTAAAATGCTGCATTCGGCATACGATGAATTCGAAGAGTTTGTTGGTATGTTGGTTAATGTGTACTCCATAACTCGTTTGGCGGTTACGACCAAAGGATCGTACAAGAAGAGCATGATGATTTAATTGTTGCACGTGGATGCAGGCCATCTGGTTCAGGCTAATTTGCATATTCCACGACAACGCCCGGCCGGTATACCTAGGTGGCCGCCGCGGCGGCCAATTAAATGCTGTCAGCCGTCTCGCGAGCGACACCACCATCGACCGACGGCCGCCTCCCGCCCGCGCCCCGCAGAAATGGTACGACGACGGCGCGCCGACCGTCTTCTGGGTGTCCGGCTTCTACTTCACACAGGCCTTCCTCACCGCCGCTCAGCAGAACCTGGCCAGGAAGAACACCATCCCCATCGACCTGCTCTGCTTCGACTTCAAGGTGATTCGGGTTGCGACGGGAGGATGGCGACGTTCAGATGGCGCCGCGGTGACCCCGACCTCTCATGTGCCGCTTGGCGACGCACGCAGGCGCAGCTCCGCGGCCTCGGGCTGTTTGGGTCAGTTAAGGTGCACCAAGAACGGACTCCGTCTGTTGGTTTGACTGCCTCTGTTGTAGGTAGTAGCCCTGCGACAACGTCGGCGATGCGGTACAGCGTCCAGATATAGAAAACAATGCCACGGGTGAGGTAGAATGATTGAAATCCTCGATGCTGAATGATTGATGAAATGATTCGTTCACGCCAGTCGCTGGCCATTTTTCACAGGGCCGTGCCTTGGACGCTACGGCCGAAAGTGACGAGCGTTGTTTATTTCTTCCCTCAGTTTTGACTAAACCGCCTCAGTTCATTGAATCATGACCTCGCTGTGGAGTTTGGCGAGTCGGCAACTTTTGTGTAAATGCTGGCACCGCTGCGCGGCTGTACGATATTTGTACTCCGTAGCTGCAGCGTCGTTCCCACTTTTCTATAAAGGAGTCAATGGCATTGTGACGGCCGTACCCCTATGGCCTCAGGACATTGCGTGAACCGAACGGGCCAGTGGAAGTCTTGGTAACATCTGGCTAAAGTTTGGAAGTGACTGACACGATAGCCCTCATGGGGCTCATCTAGGCCGTATGCTGCAAAATTACTTATATACCATTCCTGAAATTCTGGTAGTACTAGGTCAGTTTGAGAACACGTCACGCGGTAGTAGAAGCCAAGCGCGGTTAGAGTGGAAAACGATTACCCGGTAGCAGCAATTCACTCATTGTTGGGCCAGCTGTTGGCGCCTCAGCGGGGGCCCGGCTGGCAGGGGCCAGACTGACCGCAGGCGGCCGTCACCACCCTTGAGCGGGGGCCCGGCTGGCAGGGGCCAGGCTGACTGCAGGCGGCCGTCACTACCCTTGAGCGGGGGCCCGGCTGGCAGGGGCCAGGCTGACCGCAGGCGGCCGTCACTACCCTTGGGCGGGGGCCCGGCTGGCAGGGGCCAGGCTGACCGCAGGCGGCCGCCACTACCCTTGAGCGGGGCCCGGCTGGCAGGGGCCAGGCTGACCGCAGGCGGCCGTCACTACCCTTGAGCGGGGGCCCGGCTGGCAGGGGCCAGGCTGACCGCAGGCGGCCATCACTACCCTTGAGCGGGGGCCCGGCTGGCAGGGGCCAGGCTGACCGCAGGCGGCCGTCACTACCCTTGAGCGGGGGCCCGGCTGGCAGGGGCCAGGCTGACTGCAGGCGGCCGTCACTACCCTTGAGCGGGGGCCCGGCTGGCAGGGGCCAGGCTGACCGCAGGCGGCCGTCACTACCCTTGAGCGGGGGCCCGGCTGGCAGGGGCCAGGCTGACCGCAGGCGGCCATCACCACCCCATCACCGGCTGACCGCGCATCAGCGCACCACGCAGCCGGCGCAGATATCAGCCGGCCGCACCACTGACCCGGCCCGCTCGCGGCCGCCGCGTCGCCTGCAGGTGCTCGAGGACAGGGACTACACAGAGCCGCCCGGGGACGGCGTGTACGTGCACGGTCTGTTCGTGGACGGCGCCCGCTGGAGCCGCGACAAGCGCGTGCTCGATGAGTCGCTGCCCAAGATCCTGTACGACACGCTGCCGGTGCTCTGGCTCAAACCCATGAAGCGGGTAGGTCCGACGAGCGGCCGGGGTGGCGGCCAGCGACGCCCGGCGTGAAGCACGCGCGGGGGCGGGGGATGGACGGCCCATGGCCTTTGTTTCAGCGTGGGGCCGGGGACTGTTTCACTTTTGAATGTTTTGTTATGGATCGCTTCGCACGTATTAGTGGAAAGGTGCTGGCTGTCGTTTGCTTACAGGCTAAGCTTCTGTGCAGCGTTTGTCCCAACACCATACACATCATTCCGCTGAAGCTCAACGAGCCGCCCACAAGCCCAAGGCACCGTTTGCTTGTACTGCCGACGTACAAAGAGTAGTTTCAACGGTTCAAAATATACGCATAGGAGGCGGATGATCGGAAATGTTGCAGAATCAAACAAATCTCCAAGGGCTTTCTCCCCACAGGCTGCTTGGAAACGTCTCAAGCTAGGGGGAAATGTCTCGGAAATTTGATGACCGTAAACTTTCAATCACAACGCTCCCAGGAATATGCCGCCCTCATATTAACGTGCCTCTGAGTACTGAGGTCGGATAAGCTCACTGATGTCTCTGACGACGTCTGATTGGATTGCTTAGTATGCGTTGCCGCCAACCCTTACCAGGTCCACATTGCATCAATCTGCTCGTAAGTGGAAAGGACCGCCCACCGCCCGTTTTCTCGCGGCCGGTTTAGCTCCCGATTCTCAGAGATGAGTCATGTCTCTGCTTGGCCCTGACCACTGTGTTCCTGACTACTGCGGTCCGGTGTTCCTGACTACTGCGGTCCGGTGTTCCTGACTCCTGCGGTCCGGTGTTCCTGACCTCTGCGGTCCGGTGTTCCAGACTACTGCGGTCCAGTGTTTGGTATCCGACATCGCCTCTGTCACGGTGTGCCCGGTCATAACTGGCGTGGCCATGCCTAGATAGTCGGCAGCTGTGCATCGAAATACGTATTCCAACTCCTTTGCTCAGGGTTTGTGTGCAGGGTTTGCTGCCGTCGCTGTGACCGGTGTTTGAGTGCCGTGTGTGTTTCTGTGGCGTGGGCGGTTGCTGGTGCCCCGTTTCCGGCCGCGCGGCCGGTGCCCACGTCCAGCGCCCGGGCCTGCGTGTCTGCCGCCTGAGGCCGGGCGTATGCCCGCCCCCGCTCCCGTGTGGCCGGCGTCGCCGCGCCCCCGCAGCGAGCGTGACGCGCGCCGCCGCCGCCGGCCGACAGGACGAGCTGCCGGAGCGGCGCAGCTACACGTGCCCCTGCTACAAGACGTCGGAGCGGCGCGGTACGCTGAGCACCACCGGCCACAGCACCAACTTCGTGCTGGCCATCGAGCTGCCCACGGACCGGCCGCAGGAGCACTGGATCCGACGCGGCGTGGCGCTGCTCTGCCAGCTCTCCGAGTAGTGGCGCCGGCCGCGGACGCGGGGTGCTCGCCCCGGCGGAGGTGCCCAGGCCGGCCGCCGGATCGGCAGGTGGCGGGAGCGGTGTGTGGAAGGTGGGCCGACGGGAGGATGGGTCGGTGGGGGCCCCTTGTGACCTGACGGGGGGATGGGCCGGCGGGGGTCAGGTGTGACCCGACGGCGCGGGCCGGACGTCGGCCGCACGTCACTGGGCCATCGCGTGAGCAGGTGATAGTCGACCGAATCGAAGGACGATGTCGGGGAAGTGCAAGCCGAGAAGCCGTCTGCGGACGGGACGGACCTCGCCGGGAATAGCCGAGTCCGTCGCGCCGAGTCCGTCCAAAGTTTGCCTACTATTCTCAAGGGCGCGTGCTCATCATGTCCACACAATTCCACTGAGGTCGGGTTGCTGACAGCAGCGCGGAGCGCTGAATACAAAATTAATGTAACACGATGTTTTCCGAACATATGGGAAGTGACGATGCGCTGCCGCATCCTCGCTTCACTCTGTTAACTTGTGTACGCAGCCAGCCAGAGGTGTTCCACTGTCTAACCGCACATATCCGTTTGGTGTTGCACGGCGTCTGCCGTCTGGTGCTAAATGTGAAGTCTTCGGTTCCTCCCGCCGCCGAGCAGCGAACTGCGGTGGAGAGTCAGTCGACGGCCAGCTGTGCGTTACGCGCCGGGGGGGTTCCTCGGAGGCGAGCCAGCGTGCCAGTCCCCAGGACACTGCCTCGTGAGCGGCCTGGCCCAGAACCTCGCACAGAGCAATAGAAGCGACATCTAGAATCGAGCAGGTGTTACAGGCCGCGCCTTCCGTACACAGAAGATAGCGTTTAGAGAGTGCACTAGCCAATTTATTTCACTCACCTGACGCTGGTGGACTCGTTCCCCGTCCCACGACTCTTACAGCGTCCCCCGTTGGTCAATATCGTGCGTGCCGTCCCTACGCTGGCGCCGGGCTCGGAGTGAGGCCACCACGCCGGCGCCCTCACCTGGGCCGTCCGCGGCGCAGAGGCGGCGGAGGACACGACCCTCCGCACCGTCACCTTGGCGACGGTGAGCCCTACCCAACTCTCACATGGCGCCGTCCGCGGCGCAGAGGCGGCGGAGGGCACGACCCCTCCGCACCGTCCCCTCGGCGGCGGTGAGCCCTACCGAACTCTAACCTGGCGCCGCCCGTGGCGGCAGAGGCGGCGGCAGGCGCGGCTCTCGTCTCGGAGAGCGGTGGGACTCGCGTCTCGCCGAACAGCGCGCGGACGGTGGCAGCTGGGCGTCACGGGCAGTTGGTTCGCGGATGTGCTGCTGCCGGTCGGTCTCACGGCAGATTCCGAACGTACCCACCTGTTTGGCACACCCAACACCGCACGGTCCGGCCGTACCCATCTGGCCGACTGTGGCCGGCGGCAACCGAGCCGGGTCCGCACCACCGGCGCCACCCTGGGTCGCCTCACAACGCCACCCACCAGCTGAGCAGGGCTGTGGCTCCGGCCGAGCTCGTCAGGGCACTGACGGTCGGTCCCGGCGCCGACTCGTCACCGCACGAGAGGACGGCGCTGAGTCGCGCGGCAGCAGCCGGCTGGTGCTGGCCGGCGAACACTGACAACTGTGCCGGCCAGGTGAGGGCGCAACAAGGGCTGCGGCGGTATTGGCAGCTGCGGGAAACCCCAACAGAGAGAGAACGGCGGCTAGGAGGCTAGGAAAAACATAGAGTTTAAACGCCGTTTATCGGATGCAGTTAGGCACAAATGCGTGGGTTATAGCTAATGTATTTTGCAGTCTTTGGCCGAGGTATCATTCTCATCGTAAAAATGACACGAGCGGAGTGCGGGGAAAACCAGGGCTTCAACAGCTCCGCCCTGGTGGCGGGCGCACAAAACAAACAAGCACGAGCGCCTATGGACGACACGACACGAACATAAGCTACGTCTAACACGCAGACAAGACGGCGACTGGCTGAGACGCCCCGAACGGACTCCGGGCTGACCATGCGACTATGTACACAGAGTATATGGGATATCTGTCCAGCTGCAACATTGTAAATATCACAGTATTATCGCCGGTAGCCACGCATCGAAACGTTTTGATTGCAGATAAATCTTCCAGCCTCGGGTGCCTCAAAAGTTGCTAGCTAGCGATGACTTTATCGTGCGTTCCGCTAAGTTTTCGAAAAAGGTGACTCGTTTTGCGCCCAGTATGCACTGCAACAATCGCTGTGTTTATTTGCTCTCTGAAAGACAGCTTCGGAACTACGGCCTTACCTAGATATTCCGCTTCCTCCGCCCCTCCATCAGTTAAATAACCATAAAAACATTGCAACGCGTCACACGCTGAAACCGTGCGCCCTTATGCCGACACGCTCTCCACCATTGTCTTCTTCATGATCTCGCCAATGTTCTCGTCCGCCTTGTCGGCGTGCTTGACGGAGCACTCGTCCACCTCGACGCCCGAGTCCTCGGAGGGCGGCGTGCCGCAGTAGGTGACGCCGGCCGCTGCCGCCGCCGCTGCGCCGCCCACCCAGCCGCTGAACTTGTTCTGCAGCAGGTCGGCGAGCGAGTCTAGCTGGCCGCCTGCCGGCTGCGGCACGCTGCGCAGGTCCGTGTACTTGCGCTCGTCGCCGCCGGTCGGCTCGGCCGGCTCGGGCGGGAAGGCGGCGGCGCCGGCCGCAGGCGGCCCGTAGCCGGCCGGCCGCGCCGCCGCCGCCGCCGCCGCCGGGTACGTGCACGAGGCTGCCTCGTACGGCCCGGCCGTGGCGTAGACGGGCGGCGCCGGCTCGTACGAGCAGCCCGGCTGGCCTGCGGCTGCCACGCTCGGGTAGGCCGGGTAGCTGCAGGCGGGTGGGTAGCCGGGCGCCGCGCCGCCGGCCACGCCGCCGCCGCCGGGGCCCGGACCCGACGGCGGGTACTTGTTGAACGGGTAGCTGTAGTGCGGCGGTGCCGGGTACGCGTGCGCGCCGGCCGCGTAGCTCTGGCACGGCGGGTAGGCGGGCGGGTAGCCGGCCAGCGGCGCTGGGTACGGCGGCGGCGCCGGCCCCGGCGGCGGCCCATAGTTCTGCAGGCCGCCCTCGAACGAGAAGCTCGAGTAGTGAGACTGCGTCTGCGGCGGCTGGTAGGCAGGCACGGCGGCCGCAGACGTCACGGCCACCTCGTAGCTGTCGCTGCTGCCGTCGCTGTTCTCCGAGTAGGACGAGTCCTCCTGGTAGGGCGCCGCCAGTTCGGCGAAGCCGGCGGCGCCGCCGGCGTACGCGCCGCTCGGGTACTCCTGCTCGGTCATGTACTGCTGGCCGGGCGCCGCCGCGCAGCCGGCCGCCTTGGGCCAGCCGCAGCTGGCCCAGCCGCCGGCGCCGCCGCCGGCCGGACCGGGCGCCGGCGGCCCCGGCGGCTGCTCGCGCATGATCGTCTCGACGAAGTGCGAGCGTACCCGACTCGGGTTGAACTCGATGCGGCCCGAGGGGTTCTGGCAGCCGTCGCGCGTGCAGCCGCACGGGAAGTTCTGCCGGTCCACCTGCAGACAGTGCAGGCTGGCCGTCATGGCGCTGCTTCGCACATCCGGACGACGGATTCTGCGCCATCGTGAGGAGCATTTGCAGCGCTCAGCGGGATATTGCGGGCCTTCCAGGATGTCGACATCGATTGCAATATTTTGTAATCAGGGGTCCGGTTAACGAAAACCTTATCCAATGCTCGGAGTTTTGCCAAATATTGCACGTACGTGGGGTTAGTTATTGTAAAGAGACAGGATGAACACTGATTTACACATGATGGTTCTAACGACAGTAAAACCCGCATACTCCAGCACCGACCACTTAAACACGATGACAGTGGGAGCATGTGCCACGCTGCCTCGCGCAAACAAAACTTCATTTTGAACACACAACAACCTCTGCAACGCATAAGCACAAACACACACAAATACGAGCGCTCTGAGCCAAACAGCAGGGAACTTCCGTAGGACAAACCTGAGCCCATACGAGACCCTACCTTGTCCAAAGACCACGATGATCTTTGCACACACGGGGAGCCGTGCACACACCGAGCGCGGTGGGGGGGGGGGGGGGCTACCGCTCGGTCGTCTCACCTGACACTTGATGCCGGCGCCGGCGCACTGGCAGTTCTCGGGGCGGCAGACCACCTTGCAGGCGCAGCCGCAGAACTCGCGCGACGTGCGGATGTCGCGGCACTCGTCCTTCTCGAGCGGCTCGATCTTGCGCACGCCCGAGGCCCGCAGCAGCGCGCGCCGCTGCCGCGTCGACACAGGCTGCGGAGAGGGAGGGGGCGGAGGCGTCAGACCGGGGAGGGGCCACCAGGGGCGGACAGGTGACCCGGCGCGGCGAGGAGAGAACGTGGGGCCCGGTGGGAGGGGACACCAGGGCCTGGTGGGAGAGGACGTGGGGCCCGGTGGGAGAGGACGTGGGGCCCGGTGGGAGAGGACGTGGGGCCCGGTGGGAGGGGACACCAGGGCCTGGTGGGAGAGGACGTGGGGCCCGGTAGGAGAGGACGTGAGGCCCGGTGGGAGAGGACGTGGGGCCCGGTGGGAGGGGACACCAGGGTCTGGTGGGAGAGGACGTGGGGCCCGGTGGGAGAGGACGTGGGGCCCGGTGGGAGGGGACACCAGGGCCTCGTGGGAGAGGACGTGGGGCCCGGTGGGAGGGAACACCAGGGCCTGGTGGGAGAGGACGTGGGGCTCGGTGGGAGAGGGCGTGTGGCCCGGCGGGAGAGGACGTGGGGCCCGGTGGGAGCGGACATCAGGGCTGGGCCGACGCACGTCTGTTTCGTCAGCCCAGCCCGGACGAGGCCCGAAGCACGCTGTCGGCCCGCGGGAGCGAGCCAGAGATACCGGCTGGGAGCGATTACCGTCGGTGAGTACCCGACCCCGTGACACAGTCAGGAGACGCGACAGAATTGGCGAGCCGCCCATTCTATACATGCTGACAGCCAACCGTAGAACATGAATGCAAATGTCAGTATGTAATGTTCATCACTCCTTACTCCACCAGCCGTGCTCCACTCCGCTTTCGAAAATTCCTGTCACTCAGTGCATGAGGCAATCATTCCAAAAAATACCTTACCCCCTCCATCGAACTCAACGACCCAGCCTATCAGCCAACACCCGAGCAGTAGCCTGCCACGCGGCGCCACCCCGCCCCCGCCCCCGCCCCAGGCCCAGGCCCAGGCCCAAACCCAGTCCCAGCCCCAGCCCCGACTCCGGCCCCGGCCCCAGCAATCGGCGCAGTCCGGGCCCCTCCCCGGAGGCGAGCACGTGCCGGCAGCCACGTCTGACGTCAGCCGAGTGGGACTGATTCAGCGGCCGGCGGCGGTGCCAGCGGTGCCGGCGGTGCCAGCGGCCGCACCTCCGCCGCCGCCGGCCGTCCGCCGGCCACACGGCCAGCGCCGCCAGATAGGGCGCCGCCGGCAGCACCGAGCTGCACGCCACGGAACCGCGCGGCGGGCAGCGCGACGGACAGGCGGAACGCGCGGCGGCTCATACGCGCGGTCACGAGGCTCAATGCAAGAGGACACGGCGAACAACACCCCCTGCGCCTGTCTGCCAAGGCGACATCGCAGAAGCCATGGCCTGTCTGCCACAGACGACGGCGGGCGGGAGACGGCATACCCGCGTCGAGTCACACAGGACACAGGAAGAGCCGAACCGAGTTATTCACCTCGCAAAGTGGCGATTACCCGTGCAAGCCTGCACCACCTGGCCCAGCCCCGGCGCCGTGCTGCCGCTACACGTGAATCACGTGCGTGGCCTCGGTAGGTGCCGGCGACCCCTCCCCCCCCCCCCCCCGAGCACACGCACATCACTTCTGCGCTACACACTGGACGTTTCGGCGCTCTTCAGCCGCCGGTGGTACCGCGCCCGCCCAAGACCCCCACCGTCAGGCCGCCGGTGCCACTTACCCGCAGGAAGAAGTAGCTGTCGACGTCGAGCTCCGAGTCGGAGAGGTCGCTGCCCTCCTCCGAGGCGGCGTCGCTCTCCTCGCTGCTGCTCGTCGACGGCTGAAAGAGCAGCGGCCGTCAGCGGGGCAGGGCGCTCGACGGCGGCGCGGCCGCTCCGTACCGTCTGTCTCTGTCTCTGTCTCTGTCTCCGACGGCGGGCCGCCGGAGAGCTGACGCAAGATCCCGAACGGTCGCCCACGGTCCGGGGGAAAGGCCGCAAATACCAGCCGTCCGAACAGCGCTCATGCGGGCGACCGAACCCGACGGAAACGCTTTCAACTGGTGAAACGTGCCGCACACAACTAAAAATAGGTACAAACTTTCTGAAATGTCGGAGTACCGCTTTGAATGTCAGTGTGTTTGTGAGTATAGACTGATAAACGCGTGCCAACGTAACTGCATTGGCCACTTTTAATGTCAACCACCCGCGACCGTCCGCCGGCGGTGGGCCGGTAGGACAAAGTCATCACCCAGACCACGCTGAGTGTACTATTTTGGCATTCTGTGATGGGGCATGCGCCCGAACCGGTCAGCAGCGCGGGGGCCGAGCGAGGGCGACTCGCGTTGCCAGACCCTCGCCACAGCCGCTGTCTACTCCGTGACGTGCCTGTCCCTCCCCCGCTCCCGTAAACCGGTCGGGCGCCGTCGCCAAAGAGGCGCCCGTCCAGGGTCACTGCCTGTCAACAAAGCAGGTGACGACTGCATAGCAACAATGTCGGCCGGCATGGTCGACACAGCGGGACCTCCCCACGCCTCCCTAAGCCTTGATCGCAGCCCTAGCCACGGGGTGGACGGGGGGGGGGGGGATCCTTAGCATATAAGTGACGAATCATCGCGACCGTCATTTACATATGTCGTGCACTAATTCTAGAGAAGACCCGACAAGCCGTATTAGGCGGCCGCCCTCCGGCACAAACAACGGCGACTAACTCAGACCCCGGGCGACCCCGGACCGGCGCCGGCCGGCCGTCGGCTGGCGTCGCCGCTCACCTGCAGTTTGCGCTGCTTCAGTCGTAGCCGGGAGAGCAGCTCGCGGTGCGCCAGGCGCTGCTCGTTCACGTGATCGGTGAGCGTGAACCGCTCCACGTGACTGTGAGCATCGGCCATGCCCAGCGTCGAGCCGCCCTGCGACGGGATGCACGTGAAGCCCTGCGCCCGCGGGAAGTAGAACACCGTCACGCCGGCGAACTGGATGCCGCGCCGCGGCCGCTTGGCCACGCTGCCCGCTGCGGAGAGACGCGGGCGGTCAGCGGCCGAGCCGGGCGACACGGAGGCGCGCCCTCATCTGGGGCCAAGGCGGAGACGGACGGCGAGCGAGAACGGACAACGGCGGCGGGAAGGCCGGGCTCGGCGGAGACGCACAGGGGCCGACGAGCGGTGACGGGCTGGGACGGAAGGGTGGCACGGAGACGCGCCGAGACACCCGGACACGGGCAGAGTGAGTGCTGTGTAGAGCAGAGACACGGAAACGACGAAGGACGACAAACGCGCACGCACATACACACACATGGCGACGTCACCAAAAACAGGCAGACAATGTTGGTCAACCCATACGGGACTGGCTAGGCAGCGGTCAGACTGGCATGGAGGTGGCGGACATGCAGCACACACTTTGAAATAGGTACCGATACAGGGAATATAGGAAGAAAAACGGGTAGGTCGAGCAGCCCACTCGACAGACCACACGTGACAACTCCACTGAGCCTCGACACGCCTCAGCAAGAGGCCACGGGCGACATGTATTGGTGTTGGCTGCCTCTTCCCACGTCATCAGTTTCGAGATTGTAGGGATGCAACTAATTCATCTCATGCTTGTGGACAAGGTAGGTTGAGGCTTTAAAAAGCCATTTAACGTATATGGATAAAAAGTGCAGCCGACGCGACTCAGGACAAACATCAGTGAACAAAGGTGCTGGTCAGAACAATATTAGCGTGAGATACCAGCAATGCAGTAAGCCGAAGTGAAATACGAGAACGCAGCTGAAAAACAGCCGGGACTTCATCATTCGCGAGAAACGTGGAGCTAGATAACACGGAAGCGAACGTGGAGCACGAAGGAAATCGGCGACTTTTGTCGCGAAGATAGCAGATAACCTACGCGCACCACCCGCCACATCACCCGCCTGTATCGCCGTTCCGCGATAGTGTTCCGTGATGAGTCACTCAACGCGGGCCTTGACTCCGGCAGTCACGATAAGCACTGTCACTACGCAGTGACATGGCCTGCTTTCCATTACACGACATTGACATCTGAGAAAGCATCCTCGAAATTGTTTTGCGTGCACTTATTCGTGAACAGTTGCAGTGAAAACCTGGTTGGCCTGAAGCTTTTCCTGCAAATACAATGCTGCAAACCGGTCCCCTCTCAAGAGCGTGGCTACCCGACCATGACAATTTTACATGCATCTTCTACCATATCCAACGCCTCCGTGCAGCGGCTTCTCGGCATCCGTGACAAGGTCTGCTCCCCACCACCACCAGAGGGCACCTACCGGCGGCGTCTGCACTCTTCCGCTTCAGATTGCTGCGGACGGGCAGGGCGCTTAGATTGGGCTGGCTGCGCCGCACGCCGTCCCCAGCCGTGGCCGCAGCTGTAGCTGTAGCTGTAGCTGTAGCTGGAGCCGGAGCCGGAGCCAGAGACGGAGCCGTATCCGTAGCTGCCGAGCCGGGGCCGAAGCCGGGGCCGGAGCCGGAGCCGGAGCCGGAGCCGGAGCCGGAGCCGGAGCCGGAGCCGAAGCTGGGGCTTGAGCCGGATCCGGCGGTGACGGCGGCCGCGGGGACCTGAAGCGGCTCCGGGACGGCCGGCGCGCAGTCGGCCGGGTCGAGACGCGTCACCGCCGGCTCTGACAACGGCTGCTGCTGCGGCGGCGGCAGCTCCAGGACCGCCGGAGGAGAGGTGATCGACCCCGCGGAGGCGGCCACCGCCAGCTGGCTCTCCGGGATCGCGCCGGCCGTGGCGAGCCGTGCTTCCGCTCCGGCCGACTCCACGGACGACTGCCACTGGACAGCGGCCTCCACCAGCACGTGCTTGTCTGCTGCCGCCTCCTGGGAGACGGAATGCTGCTCACAGGGGACCGCTTCCAGCTGTCCTCCTGCAGGACAGGCTTCTTGGGACGCCCGCTCATCCGACAGTGTACCCTGCAAGTTCTGTTCCTCTGGGCCAATCTCAACAGCAGCCGGTCGTTCCGCCTTACGCGCCTCCTCCACAGAGGTCACCGTGCCGGCCGCAGAGGCGGCGGCTGCAGCCGGCTGCTCCACAGGCCGCATCTCTGGCGTCTCCTCAGCGACCGCGTCACTGCTCACAACGACGTCCGCGCCTCCTGCTGGAGCTGCGCCAGCTGAGACCGCCTCCTCCTCGACTTTTGCCGACGCCATCGGCTGGCAGTCCTCGGAGGAGACTGACAACGCCCCCTCCTGCCCGGCCTCCGAGGGGGCCGACTCGACCTCCTCCTGCGGGGTGGGCTTCGCCTGCTCCTCCACGGGAGCTGACTTCACCTGCTCAACCGAGACCGGCTCCGTCCGCGGGTCCTCTCCCGGCGGCGCTGCGGCGACCTCGGCGCTGGGGGCGCCCGTCGCCGGCGCCTCCTGCCTGCTCTCGGCCGTCTCGGCGGCCGGCCGGGCCGCCTCCACCGGCGCGGCGACCGCGTCGATGTCGTCGAGCAAGTCGCGGGGCCGCCAGGGCGCGCCGGACGGCAGCGGTCCGTCCACGGCGTCCAGCAGGTCGCGCGGCGGCGGCTGGGCCGGGCGACTCAGCTCATCCCCGGCCATAGCGAGCGTCTGCAACAGCGGAGCAAGCCCGTTAGCCGGCGGTCCCCTTCTGCGAGCCCCGTCCCACGCGATGGTGGTCCACAACAGCCTGACGTGGAGGGTCCCGTCGGGAGCGGCCCGCCCAACTAAGGGCACCATCCGGAGTTCTGTACGACAGACGCTCACAGAAGGGTAACACTCGTCGGCTGACAAACAGGCGGAGACATTTGTCACAGGAAATCCCTGTGGTATTCCCAGTGCGGGCGACTGCGTCTACACACGCGTGATATCGCTCCGGACAGGCCCGGGAGGCCATGCCGGCTACAGCAGCCGTCCTCGGCCGACAGGATGGACCAGCGGCGGCGAACCACGGCACAGTACACTCACCGCGACGCCGCAGGACGCGACACCCGCACTGACGAAGGCAACGGACGCCGCAGGCATTCTGTGCTGAAACGCAAGTCCCACTTGTCCTCTCACGACGCAACCAGAGCGCCAGCCCCGCAAACCCGGAAAACTAAGGTGCCTTCTGAAAATACATACGCTCTACTACGCCATCGCCGTCCGTCACAAAGGCGCCGCAGCCCTCAGCTTCCAAAAGGTCACCGATATCTGCGTTCGTATTTCCCTGTTCTGGCCGACAACGTCTCATGGTGCCTTAGAACATACACCTCAGCCACATTCTACCGCACAGTTTCACATGAACCAGATTCAGTCGACAAAGGGACTCTCCGTTCCAGCGCACCCGCCGAGGGACTCACCGAACACCGAACACTCGTCCCCGAACAGCCCACACCACATCGCTCACGTACTGTCCTGTCGCACAGGGCCGCGTCCTCGGCGCCTTCCGTCCCCACCGCGCAACAAAGGCGTCACGTGCCGTCTCCGGCGCTGGGAGCGTCCGGGGGGGGGGGGGGGCACGGTTCGCGCCGCCGCCCACCTGCTCGTCGTCCGCGTCGCCGCGGCCGTCAACCGCTCCACCGACGCGCCGACCGACCGGCTCTCCGCCAGCTGCGTCTGCCGCGACCTACCAGCTGTCGGAGGCCGCGCCTGCGCTGCGGCGGCGGCGACGTCGCGGCCAGGAATAACCGCGCGCGGCGCCGGCACCGCGGGCCGCGGGTAGAGCGACGCCGGCCGGAGAGAGTCGGCCGGCCCGAGCAGAGCTGCGCACGGACCGGCGGCGCACCCGCCCGTCGCGGCTGCTGGCCGGTCGCAGCGGCCGCTCCAGCACCCGGTTACGGTCAGCTACCACGCCGATCGGTCCGGATCTCAGGTATGCGGCTCTACCGGGGCCAGCTGGTCACCCCGACAGCTTCGGAGGAATGTCGCCGCAGCGTGCCCCGCCCATGCTGCAGCCTGCAGGCGTCCAAGCCGAGACAGCCACCGCCAGCGCGCCTCAAACTGGCCATCTACGGCAACGCTGCCGCGGAAGCGCCAACGAAGTACAAAGAAGGGCACAAACCTCCCCACCACAAATAAACAACCGGCTATCGAAAGCAAATCTACATTACGTCCGCCATCACAGGTCGTCCAAATGTGAAGCATCCCTCCCAGTCACAGTCGGGCCGCACTCCACAAGCCTGGCCGAGCTGTCCAACCGGCGCCGGTTTCACCCCGGCGCCGGTTTCTCGCGGTTTCCCCAGGTCCGTCGGGCGGCGACGGCGATGGCGACGGCGGCAGTGGCGGCGGTGGCGGGAGGGGGCCGGGGGCCAGCCCTGGCGTTCTCACTTCGGCGCACAGGTGCGCCCGGGCCGCACACACCTCTACCCACGCGCCCCAAATCAATATAGCCGATTCGGGGAGAATTTCACAAGGCGCCAATCGTCATTCATTCGTCGCCAACAAAAGACGATTGGTTGTTTGCGAGGGTCGCGCTTGCAGTGCCGCGTGCGACGATCGGCCGGCACTCCTGCTGACGGAGCGCACTCTGCCGCCGCACTCCGCCGCGACTCCGCACTCACCGCGCACTCCCAGCGTAAACAGCTACCGGCACTGCAACGGTGCGAGCACTCTCGCCCATTTGCGCCGAAGATGCCTCGAAACTTTCCGCCGCCGCCGCGGCAGAGCAGCGGAGGGTTTCCGTTCCTGGTCTCTCGGCCGTCGACAAACTTCGCGGCCTGCGAGCCGGATAATCGCCGCCCTCCGGAGCGGATAGCAGAGCTTTGTGCCCGCCCGAGCATCGCCAGCTCTGTTCCCAGCCATACGTCGAGCCGCCAAGAGAGAGGTCTTCACTCGTCTCGGAGGGCGGCAGCCAGCGACCGGCCGGGCGGCGGAAGTCTGGCGACCCGTGGAGATGGTCTGATGTTTTCTACTCGCTCAGCCACCAACTACGGTGGGACCTCAGCGGAGCCACGCTACTTCTCCGGCAACACGACGGTTTTTGGGCGCACCAACGCGCACACCGAAAAACGCGTTATCAGTGGGGCCACGGCCGGCTTTAAATCCGCCGTATGACGTCACGGAAGGCAAAGGTCACGCGAATCACCTTGGTGAACCTGATACCAGCGGGCCCCTGCTCGGTACGACCCTTCTGTACCGCGGCCGCCAGCATCGCGTGCGTCCGGTGTGTGACACGTTAGCGCCGAGGACGTCAGAACGACAGAGGTCTGCGACGAACGCCGTCCCTGCGGAACGCCTCGCATTTGTTTTGGCCCGACCTTTCGGCAGCGCGTCCGCGAGCTCAAGGCCCCTCAGCACACAGAGTACTAAACAAACGCTTCTAGCCAACTCTGCATGCAGATCAAACGGACCCTCCTGGCTGACGCAATAAAGCCGATATGATCGCCCAAAAATATTCGGCAGACATTTAAGAACTGGACATTAACGAGCATGAAACACCGACCATGCTACTGCACTACATAGCAACTTAGTGAAATGATTATCTAGACACAAGGTAAACACAAACCACTGAAGTTTAATAAATATAAATAATATTTCGCCCGCGTCGGGGAAGGCGTAATGGCACCCCATTACTCTGTCTGCTCATCAATAAACCAGTTTACTACTTCGGGAGGGTCCATCACCAGTTCCGAGCGGAAATAAGTGCTTGGGCACCCGCAAACAGGTTATGGACAACTGAACAGCGCAATGGTATGGTTGCGCGCTTTTCACACGCGTCATGAAGCCATTAAACAAAACAGAGTTGTAAAGCAAATATCAGGACTACGGTGGAAATGGTGCACCGAAAGCAGGCACTGTGGACAATAAGTACCCGCAGGTAATGCTTACATAAAGGCCGTGACAAAAAGTCACAGCCACAAAATAGCGAAGCGCGGACCCATTGGCTTGCCTGGATTTGAGTGGACGTTTGGACATATTTCGCGGACTTTGTAGCGTTGTGCTCACGAATCCAGACGGTTCACTCCTCACCTTCTGGAGTGGCAATTACGCAATCGCTTCCGTGGTTGCGGAAGAGGGCATTTACAATTGCAGACTTCTAAAAAGAGCGCCTTCGATAACGGCTTCACACACTTAAGACTGGGTCTTTCCAGCGACACACCCCTGCCAGGAGATAGATGATGGAAACGTTTATCTGCCCATGAGTTACATACATTACATGAGAGTCACCTAAAATCACGCCAAATTTGCATATGAACAGGGAAGCCGTGTACCGAGAAGACGTAAGGAAACTGTGTTACGGCGAAGCTGACTTAAGTGATGACTTAAAGGCGCACGATAACGTTAATTTCTGAGCTAGAGGCTACATGCAATATCTAAGATTTAATGACTAATTACAAGCGGGTGGTGGGAGCACGGACAAGTTTATCAGAAGTCTCGATTTTCTGAATTTCATGCCTACAGCACGCGCTTAGCCATGTCAAAAATCCCTCCTAGGTCTCGATACATATTCAGTGCTGATGCCCTTCCCTCATTTGAAGGGATGGTAGTTGCTTCACCTTCGCCGCTATAACCCACTGGAAAACATGTCACAAAATAAGGTGAGCTGCAATTTTGAAAACTTAGTACGCGCCCGGGTGGCCGGTTGGATACCCTTCGCTCAGGTGGGGGGGGGGGGGGGGAGGAGGGCAATTGGCCCGCTGATATTTCAGGAACTAAGAGAGCTAGACACCAAAGTCACAGGGTGTGTTGACCTGTCCGCGAACTCACTTAGGTCAGATTTGGAGGCTCCTAGGTCATAACCTTCGGGTCAAATAACGTCAAAAAGGTCAAATTCCAGGTTGGTCTCCAAAGGGCCCCTAGAGCCTAAATAACTGTTCTGAGCAAAACGTCACACGATCATCTTAGGCCAGTGCCCTAGTTTGGCCTTTTGAGGGTCATGGTGACCAAAAATATACAAGACCGCTGTGAGTTTTGCACTTAGATAAGCGATGAAGATTACGCTACGCACAATGTTCCTAAAAAAAAAATGTTGACGTGGGTTATTCCGGGTCAGTGACCTATTCTGACCTTTAAGAAGTCTATGGAAGGTATATAATGCGGTTGCTGTTATCAATTAATTCGAAATGAGCATCAGGAACTACCCATACAGCAAGCGCTAGAGTAATAAAACATGTTGGTTTTGGCCTTGGTCTGACCTTCATACCCAATCCCAGGTCAATGTAATTTGTTTATTCAGTTGTTGTGTTGCCTAGAGAAGCATCTCAGAGTTATATGGTTTCGTCCAACACTCCGTTGTTGGATCAGATTGAACGATTCCCTAGAAATTGCCTTCGCTGAAACCATGGCCTGACTTTGACCTGCCATAGCTCAGCGACCTTACAAGGTACATCTAATCTTTCATGCCAGACAATCCGTTATTCAATTTTCTACAGCTATGCAAAATTTGGTGCGGCTATGCCGCGCCGTTCGGAAACTATTTCGGAAAACATTCGGGAGGGGGGGCAATTTGACCCCCATCCAAGAGCGTGCCAGAGTATACATATCCGCATACTACATCACGTGTTCATCATCAAACACACAATGGCCTGATAACGACACCTCAGCTCTTCGTGACGATAGCTCAGCTAGGTGGAGCGTCTGTCAGACTCACCCACCTGTGGCGCGTTGCGTTAGAGCCGACGCAGATGTTT